AAAAAAAAAAAAAAAAAAGTATATTTCTACAAAATCGAATCATTCATTCTATTAAAAATGAAGTTTTTATTTTTTTATTTTACATTTGTTGTAAAACATAAGTTGGTTCTCAACCATGTTTGTCCACAGTTATTACTGGTTGTTTAGGAAGGTCTAAAAAGCCATGAGGGTTCATGGCTTTTCAGCAATAAACTTATATATAAATAAGCAAATGAGCTATGTAACCTATTCGTTAAATCAATTAAGCTATCCAAACAAACCTGGTTGTATGACAGTAATTTACTCCCTAAGTTTAATAAGAACAACAAATGTCAGAACAAACACATTTAACAATAACAAATGTCATCAGCTGTTTGTGATAACTGGTAGGCAGTATTTGGGGTGGGTGTTGCCTTGTGGGCATCAGAGTGAGGACCATCGACCATCAAAAAGTTTCTAGAAAAGTTAGGACATTTTGATGGTCCTCACTTTTTGTGCAAACACGTAGGTTAAGGGCTACGGTATGCCTTGGTCATATTTAGGTTTATTGTTAGTTTCTCCTTTAAACCTATTTAATGTCCTGCCACAGGATCTCAGTCATATTTAAAGGTGGTTTATATCATGGTTCTTTTACTGTACACCATATCACCATTTTCTTTGTTGGAAAATGTTTGTTAAATCAATCTGGAGATTTTTTTTCAAAAAAGTCTTGGGGATTGATAAATTTCATTTTTCCATCAGTGGTCATTGAATACCACTTTTGCTGTTTTTTTTTTTTCTTAATGAGGAATAATGATGAATCTCCTTAGAGGGTTTGTTCAGTTCTTTTTCTCTGTCTGTGGATAATGGTTCTCACTGTGGTTTAAATGGAGTCTCAAAGCCTTAGAATTGGCTTTGTGTTTTTTCTTCCGGTCTAAGAACTGACAAAGACTTTCTAAACTGTTTTTAAATGTCTGCAGAATATGAAAAAAAGTGTCATTACTTCATGTTGTCAGACAAGATCAGTTTAGCTGATTTTCAACAGATCAAAAGTCTACGGAGCCCCTCTGATGACATGGTCAAAAAAA